AATAGAGTTCATTGTTTGGATAATGTATGTAACAAATGCTTGAAAAAGTAAATTTCAATCACAAAGAAACTTTGCCAATTGAAATAAAAAATGTCTGCTTTGAGAGGCGACTATTATTATCGATTTAGATAGTCGATGTCGCTTTATCTGCAGTAATAAAGCAAGGAAAGAGAAGTGCATAAGTCGGGCTTCTTAATTAATGTATACGATTAGTAGCCCTAAAATTGGTTCTTTGTTCCAATATATAGAAGTGTGGAATGGTGTTTAACCACAAGATTGGAGAGTTCATATTTCATTCAAGAATGCATGACTAGTGGTGTAAAGATGATTGGGTTGACGCATGCATTTTTCAATATTTATTTACAAATGACTTGCCCTTTTGATGTACTTTTGCTTGAGGATTCGGTCTAATCTATTTTATTTCTCTAGCGAGAAATATCGATTAGAGGTGTTAAAATGGGTGGACTAGTTCTCATGGATCATTGGGTTTGAAAATCAAGTCCAACACTGCCCGTTATGTTAATAGACCAAAACTCATGAATCGACCCAAATTGAGATGAACTCATTTTCATTCGATTTTTAATTGAATGGATTGTCACGAGCTATAGCTACCCGCCCATTTTGAAACCACTATCACCGATGCTTTCATGAGTTTAGTTCATTAAGAAAAGATCGAACCCTGCTCTAAGCCTGCCTACTAACACTATGGGTATACAGTTAATACTTGAATAATTCTTACAAAAATTCCTTAAATGCTACTTGTAATTTATATTAGTTGGAGATGCTCCGAATTTCTGGTACTAATATTTCATGAATTCTTAAAAGTGTCTTTTTGAACTTAAAAGTTGGAATTTCAACATTGTCATCCTCAAAGTTTTGATTTTTGATTTTCTCACACTGTTTTCATTTATGCTATTTTTTTTAAGAGATGGACGAAAATGTAATTGGTTTATATTTTTGTAGAAGTAGCAAGGATTAAGAATTTTTAATTCTCATTTTACAACTTCTAGGACACAATTTCAGGAACTTACAAATTGGACTGAACTGCAGCAAAATTAAATTATAATTCGTGGAAATTGCAAGAAATGTCTACTTGTCATTTGCAAAATTGTCCAAAATTTATTCAATATCCATTTTACAATAAATTAGACCAAAATACTCTTGTTAGTAAATTCTAATTCCACATTAAACGATCTATGTTGGCATTACTTCCTAGTTGATTATTTTATTGAGTATAATTTTGTGCAATACTTGATTAATTTATATTTGGATAGACGATAAACTTGTATTTGTTTGTTGTTTGATTAAAGAGATAGCTTATTTGTTTCTTGAACTATATCAATTAAGCACGACTTACTTGTGTAGGAAATGTCGTGGGTTAGCTGATTTTGTTAAAATTGATTGATTTGATCATTTAAATGTCTTGAATGCCGAATTGTTACTGAATATGGTTGATATTACTTGTGCGAAGCTCAATAAAATGAATAAAATAATGATATCATTAGCTTGAGTTCCACGGTAATTCGAAAACAATGCTTAAAGGAGACTTGCACACGTACTATAGGAAAGTAGTGTATATGGATGGTGAATGATCTGTTTGATAATCCAAGGAATGTTTTTATGTTGTTTTAATGATTTTAGCATCATGATGATTCAATCAATGATCCAAGTATTTTGCTATTAATCAAATATTAGAGTAATGCTATTGTCATTAATCAAATTGGATTTAATTGAGCATTAGAAGCTGGTATTAGTTAGGGTTAGATTGCTTTATTTAATTAATTGTTACTAGGTTGAGAAGGGGAGATCCTAAATGTTTGCTCGTTATTCCTTTTTATGGAGTTTATAGCGATTTTTATAACTATAAAATTATTGAGCAAGATACATGGATGTAATCCTCTAGAGCTTCAAAATGAAAAAAACTAAGGCTTCATATGTAATTTATTGGATGGAGACATGGAGTATATCATTAAACTAAAAGAGCTAATTCTACAAATTCAAATTGATTGGATGGAGAATACTCCTTCAAAGTCACTAAAATCTGGATGGTATTAAAATCCAAGCAAATTATATCATCTTAGGAACTTTTCACATTTATTTTTACAGTTTCATAACTTTCTAAATGTGTTCAAGATTGGAATATCTTATTCTATGTATGATTTTATCTTTGATGTATTGTGTTTACTATCTTAAAAATGAATAGCATAACACTAGAGGGAAAATACGAAGCATTGGACTTCAAAAATTTTGCCAAGTTTTATCTTTGTTGTATTGTATTTACTATTTTACGAATGGATAGCACAACAAATTATTGTTACATCGAGATATGTATAATTTTAATCGTTAACGCCATAAACTTGTGATTTGCTTTTTGTAGTGGGAACCACTTCATTACTACAATGATATGTTCAATAGGTTTTGTGTGTGCTTAACAAGTTTTGGTAAGATAGAATTTTAAGTCCTTACATTTTGTTGAATATGTAAGCATCAGTTTATGGGTACCTATATGGTTAGATAGAAGACATTTTCAATGGTTAAATGGTTTCATATATTTCTCAGGTCATTTTATTTAATTAGTAGGTTCTCATATTATTTATTTTATTTGTTTTTGTTTTTGTTATTTGAAGATGACTTCCTAATGTCAATGCTCCACTGCCATGCTGACCTCAATCCTGAGGGTGAAGATACCCAGTGCTAGCATGAGGACTCCGTTCACATGCTCTGATCGTAAAAAGGATAAGAGAGATGTATAGTTAGTTTAGAATGTTGTTGAAGTATAACATTGTGAGTTTGAAAAAAACATTTGACACGTCATTTTGAGTACCATCATTAGGCAAAAATTTTTATTGATGGTAAGTTTCTGATGTAAACTTGAAATGGAAACATTATCATTTTGTTTTAGTAGTGACATGCTGTTCATGTCTTACATTGTGTACACATTCATGAACCGTTACTCCTGACAGTTAAAATATCAATTGTCAAGAAAAACATTTACTTAATGTCGAGAAAAATACTTTATATGTCAATAAATGTCTAAAATCTATAGAACTCTCGACATCAAAATGAAATCTCGTTCTAGATAAATGAACTGTCAAGTGGGAAATAAACAGGGTCCAAATGTCGATAACAACTTTTCAAATGACGAGAACATCGTGAAATGTCGAGGACAAAATTGAACCAATTGAGGGAATAATAAAATAACAATTAGATTAAAAAAATAGTTAAAACAAATATATTGAACGTACAAGTTCTTCAATATGATTTCAATCTACATAGATAAACCCACCCAAAACAACCTGTATATTTTTTCCACTTAAATGGGCAAATAAACATGTCAAGTGTCATTTACATTAAATTACAATATAATTTAAGTATGCTATTGTTTGCACAATTTTATCTCCACCTTTATCTAATCATCTATCATCTCAAATTAAAAAATAAATAAATAAATAAAGAACTTAAATTTTAGTTTTTTTTGGGATTCTACTATTTTATTCTTTATGTTAACCAACAAAAAATAATAGAAAGAACCTATGCTTAACAAAATTAAGGATGGCTTTTGAGTGTGAATTGATTTTATGTTAAGAGAGATTCTCGTCATACGAGAGCAAGCAAAATATGACGGTCTTCATTTTAGCTTTTAATTTTTTTCCCCAAATAGAGTAAATAATAATAATAATAATAATAATAATAATAATAATAATAATAATAATAAATGGATATTTGATTATGTATGGTTTGCAACCCTTCGATCAAGACAACTATAGCCATGTTATTTATCTTTTTTTAATAATAATAATAATAATAATAATAATAATAATAATAGTTTCTATATATTCATTTTCAACTATCAATTTACACAATAAAATGAGTATGTGAAATAAAGAGCTTCTAAAGGCTCATTTAACAAAGATCCTACATGCTTATTTTTATCCCTATATTTACACAATAAAATAATTCGTCTGTAAATTAAAAAGAAAAAAAAATGCTCTATTTTTTAACCACCTATTGTCCTCAAAATTACTATTCAAATTTTTTTATTTTTTTTTTTCCAAATAATGGCCATCAGCACAAGAACTAAAAGAAACAATTTTATAAAGTTAATCAAAGGAGTTGAAAGATGGTTGGAATCTCAACAATTTATTTTGAGTTCTCAAAATCCATTAATGGACCCTAAGTTTTGAACCAAAAAAACCCAAACTATTTTTCATGCATTCCACTCTTAAAATTATTCATCAATTTGATTCCCGTTTGAGTCCCATTTTTTAAAAAAATAAACAAATTTTTTAATAATAAATTTTTTAAAAATGTGTGATTAAAAGGTAAGAAAAAATTCAAATTTACGTATAAATTATTTTATCGACTGAATGTATAGTTAAAAATGAGTTCGAGAGAAAAATAAATTTTTAAATAATGTGCTCAAACAAGGGTTAAATTTCCGCCGTTTTATCCTGTTTCAAAATATCTAAGTAGCCAACTTCAATAATTGAGAAAATATCAGTTCAAACTTCAAATGTTATCCACAATTTATCAAATATCGATCCCTACTCGAAACTTCTTCCTCCCTCACTCTAATTCGACCACAAAATTCAAGAACATAGTTTTGCAAATGACAACAATTGGAGAAGTCTTTGTTGTTACATCTTCTGGCTCGGCCATTTGTTTCCTTGTATTGAACTATGCAAACAAATTAGTCTTCAGAACTACAAAGCCACCCTTGTCCACCCCTCGAACACATCGGCCGCCCTCGACGACCACCGCCAACTGATCGGAACGATCGAAATCACAGCCCCGTAAGAGGACTACCCAAATCCGACACTTCTCCACCACAAATGGGCTTGGAATTTGAGGCCCACCTATCAGGTAGGTCCAATGGGCCAAACGTGGCCCACCCAATGTGTGCCATAATTGACTTCCAAATGGGCCGGACTAAACACATATTTTGGAAACACAAAATTCCGGTAATCAGCTTCTTCACTTTTGGCGCGTGTGCAGCAAGCATGGAATGGGGCGCGTGGAAGTCTAACGCAAATGAAAACAAACTTAATCCGGGTCAGATTCATACTATACCCGGCTTACCAGAAGAAACGCACATCGCGTACCATGACCTCACGCGCCACCATAATCGGCCTCCACAGACATCCACCGGCCGAGGAGGTGGGCCACCTAAACCAGGAGATCAACCGCCGAGGGTTCCATTAATAGAGGGCTCAATCGCCTTAATGTTCAACACGTGTGATGATCTAGAACATCCATTCATCAATTACTTGGAGAATCAAATGGGAATTCCAGTATGGGGCATCGGCCCGCTCTTTTCCGACAAGTATTGGGCGTCTATCAAGTCCAATACATTAATCCACGACCTCCAAATTAGAAACCTAACTTATCAGAAAGAGGATCAAGTAAAACAATGGCTGGATTCAAAATCCCAGGAAAGTGTTCTATATGTAGCATTTGGCAGTGAATTGAGCCCTACAAACGAAGAATTAAATCAATTAGCAAGCGCATTGGAAGAAATTGACTATCCATTCATTTGGGTTATTCAAAATCGTCTAAATTTATCAGAAAATGAAGAGAAAAGTGAAGGATTTTTTGGATTGGATGATAAAATTGGTGAAAGGGGATTGATAATTCAAGGTTGGGCACCCCAATTGCTGATTTTAAGCCACAAATCAATTGGGGGATTTTTATCCCATTGTGGATGGAATTCAATTGTGGAGGCGATTGGACTTGGTGTTCCGATTCTGGCATGGCCGATTAGGGGTGATCAGATTTATAATGCGAAGCTGGTGGTTAATTATCTGAAAATTGGGTACCTGGCTTTGCCCAGTGGTTCGCCGGAGATGGTGAAAATGGACTTGTTGAATGGAATTGAGAAGGTAATTAGTGACGAAGGGATTCGTAAATGGGCAGGAATTCTCAGAGCCAAACTTGAACAAGATTTTCCAGCTAGTTTAGAGGGAGCATTGGATAAATTCAAAAAAAATTTAGCGGCGGCCCAAGTTTAACTGATATTGTCATTGTAGTGTAGTGGTGAGTTTTTCGAGTGAGTGCCCCGGGTTCGATCCCCGGCAATAGCATCGAAAAATTATTGTGGTACGATAGTAAGTGTACGATGTCAATTTAGACTACTCCAAATTATCGTTTACATGAGAACATCTATCTAACTATTAGTTTAATTATGATTAGCTTCTATTCGAGTAAACAAATTAAAAATTATTTTAGTTACTATGCTAAAACTTGTACTCGAAGAAAACAATTAAAAAGTGTGATACTAGACAATATTAAAGTTTTACTTGATGTATGAAGAGTGTTAGGATTCACGAGTTCTATGTAGTTATTTCCTTAATCTCAATGACCAAATTTCGATAACAATTAATTAAGGGTATATTTGATTGTAAGTATGGAATTTGCATCGAAAAAATGAATTGCATAGAACTTATTTGCATAGAAATTATTATGATTGATTTATTACTTTTTAATTTTGAAAATGTTATACTTGTCCATCTTTTATTAGTAAGTAAATGACACGTAGAGAGGTAGCTGAGAGAGCGAATTGCCTATCAAATAAGAGTTAATAACCCAAATGGTGACTGAACTTTTCAGAAAGTTTTCATTGGATCACTGAATTTTACAAATCGCCCAAGCAATTACTGAATTTTACAAAAGGTTTTCACGGGATCACTGAACTTTGCAAAATGTTTCCATAGGTTCACTAAACTTTAAAAATCATTACTAAATTAGTGAATCTTAGGAAACCTTTTACAAAGTTCAGCGATCCTGTGGAAATTTTTTGTAAAGTTTAATGATGAAAGTAGTGATTTTTAAAGTTTAGTGACCCTTGTAAACTTTTTGCAAAGTTCAGTGATGATTTGAGTGACTTTTAAAATTCAGTGACCCCTTGTAAACCTTTTACAAATTTCAGTAATGATTTGAATGATTTTTAAAGTTCAGTGGCATCGTGAATACTTTTTGCAAAGTTCAAAGATCATTTGGATTATTAACCCTGTAAAATAAAGGCCTCGTTTGGGAGTGACTTTTCACCCAAAAAAATTGATTTTTTTACTGTTATTCCATTATTCCAACCGTCATTTTTAACTTTTTCACTTACAGGTGGCCCTCACTTTTCTCTTTAGTGGTAAAAAAATAAATTATCAAAATCACTATCGAACAGGCCCAAAAACTTATCGCTCCCTAAAAAAGATATTTTCCTTATTTTTGAGAAAAATATGGTCATTTGACCAATTTTTTAAAAATATTTTTGAAAGTAGAAATTTGGGTAAAATATGATATTTTTCATAAAAAATAAAGCCAATCAAACATACACTAAGTATATCTAAATTAATTGATTTATCTCCCTCGAATTCAAATCAATAAATTACGTTAACTCACTATATCTCTATTTAAATCAGGGCAAGCCTTAATTTAGAATATCCTATCACTAAAGAAATCAATTTAAGGACTAGTGCAAGTGCATCTCTATCTTCTACTCAAATTTCAATTATTGCTACGTGATCAAAATAAATAACTCATCTTTCAACTCATTACCCTACGGCCTACACAAATCAAGTAATTGGCGATTAAGTAAGTAATTCAAAGCATTCATAGTAAAAAATAATACACGAACATCAATTGTAGATCAAAACTTGACAATCAAAACTAAAGTTCAAAATAAAGATCACATCGATCTTCCGAGCTATAAATTTAGTTACACATCTTGAGAAAAGAACATGTAAGAAAGATTTGAAGTATATCACCGAGTTTTAATGAAATTTGGGGGGGGGGGGTTAATGACATTGCACAAAAAATTCGCCTTCTTTTATAAAACCATGAAACCTAGACACATAAGAGGACTATGTAAAGATAAGTCATATCTATTTGAAAGTTCAATTTAACCTTTTTAAAAAAATTAAAAAAATTTAATACATATAGTTATGCTACCCATACGAGTTCTCACAACATGGCTCTATGTTATATCAACTTCTTTTAATTGCATGCCCTTTTGCCTTTGATGTCATAAATGATGTAATTTCGCATTTAAAATTTGAATTATGTTGTTTTACCAGAGGAATTTAACACCTTGGTTGACAACTGAAGTTGTGGCAAAAAATGATTGAATGACAGTGTTGACTATTTTTAAAACAGTCTAATGATGTAATGTTATGTGGTATTCTGTCATCCAAAGTGTTAAAATCCTACCGTGATGTAGCAAGATTGTTAAAATTTTCAATTGATTCTCAACCTCTCAAGTAGCCCCTGGCCTCCCATATGCCACAAAATTTTCCCTTTTTATTTTTATTTATTTATTTTGTTTTTGTTTTTGTTTTTGTTTTTGTTCTTGTTAAACTTTGTTATTTAGTGATTGTTCGATCCTCATTATCTTTAAAATACATTTTTCTCTCATTTTCAACCACACATATTTAAATGAAATAATATCACACGCAAATCTAAAATTTTTCTTTATTTTTTAACTACACAATCTCATTCAATCTATTATTTCAAAATATATTTTTCAAAAATAATAGAGGGCTCACTTAACAAAAAGAAATGTCAAAAAATTTTCATTAATTGGGATATGGAGTTTCAATCGAAAAGTTTAACTATTAAGAAAAATAGTAAGGACAATTTCATTACTAATAAACACTACGATGAACACAAGGTTCCTTTGTTGATAAACTCAGATAAAAAACTATAAATAGCATTGAAATCGATTTTTTGGCCAATCAGAATTGTCATCTAAGGTCTATAATTGCCTCAAAAGGGAATCCCTAACTTGTTTTCCACATCCTTATTTGCTCCAGTAATATACAAGATTTTTCTACCAGTTTCATATTTTTGGTTTCATTTAACATAAGCCTATTTGTCTCTCATTATGGTAGAATTATACAATTTCGAATAATATTTTTTGGAGAATGCGTGGTTAAAATTTAAAAAACTTTATTGATTTGTGTGTATAATATTTTTTGTATGAATATGTGGTGAAGAATATTACTGTAGTAAATAATTTACTTTATTAAAGGCGGACAAATAGGGGCATAATAATAAGAAAAGTAAGAAACGAGTATCTTTGAAAATACATAAAGGGAATTTTATTTTATTTTTAAAGAAAAAAATCTTGTGCCTCAATCATTGTGCGAAATGATTAAATACATGAATTACATAAAGCATTGATTTAGAATATACTAAAGTCAATATAATACGCCAGCTATCACTTTGTCCACATTCAAATATTACTGGTTGGATTGATTCCAAAGTCCTACAAGCATCTCAAGTCAAGTTTATGAAAATTGGGTAATGTAATGATGCATAGCAAAATTCAAAATGAAATAGTTGAAATCTCATATTGCATGTAAAAAGCTTGTTTACTGAGTTATAAATACATTGATCTTAAGAAGCAAGTTTTAAGGACGATTCTATTGAACTGCTCTTAAGAGTCATATGTAAGTCGTTTGATAGGACTTTTACTTTTTATAAAGAGTCATATATAAGTCGTTCGATAGGACTTCTACTTTTTATAAAAGAATTTCTTGATGAAGCTACCTTAAAATTCGTTTAACATGATAGAACAATTCAAAAAAAAATATTCAAGTATGTTTAGATTTAATTTTTTAATTTCAAAATCAGTTTTTGACTTTTTAGAAACTATACCAAACAAGTCCTATATAGCCCTTCTCGATAAATTCTTCCTGCTGATGGAACAACTTGTAGATGACTTAGGTTCAATTGAGTCGGCGAACTACAGAATGTGAGTTTGAAAGGGGATTGTTAACCCCGTTGATGGGGATAAATATATTTTTAGTAGATTTTGATTAAAAAAAAATGATGACACATGATTAAAATTACTTGTTGATTTTGATTAAAAATAAAATCTAAATTTTAATTACTTCTAACAGAATTCTAATGAGTGATTTTGAGTTCCATGTCTTCCTCAAAGATCACTCCATGAGTTTATAAACAAGTTAAGCACCCTAGTTCGACCCAACTACTTGTAACATCTTATTATGATTAAGGTAAAGTAGGTTCATACTAGGGAAAGGAGAGTGAGGGGAATAGGGGGCAGCCCTCGGCCTGATCATCCAATTCGCTCCAAGAGACAAGCATGGCTCTGTAGTCAAAGCAACTTCGTCACTTTTGTGTACCCATCGGACGGCAGCCCTTTCGAGGGTTCCTTAGGGACCGATTCACTCTGCGTATAAGCCATCACACTATTTTAGTTCCAGCCAATGCCCTAAAAATGTCATCTACAGTTTGCTAAGTTAGGGGGAAAAAAAGTTGGATCATTAAAAGTGCAGCCTCATTAGAGTTATGATTCCAATCTAGGATGTGCTAAATGATAGGCGGAATGAAACGTGAAATTATATTACTTATTTAATTCTATCTATCATTTAATGTTACATTAAAACCACCTAGATTAGGGTTGTAATCTCAATGAGGCTAAATAATATTATTCAATCAAAAATGTTTTTTGCTGCTGAATAGAAAATTCAAAATGAGAGTGACTGATAAAATAAGGAAAATTCTTCAAGAACTTGATTTTTAATAAGGAAAAATTTTCAAGTATAGGATTTTTTCCACAAATTTTGTAGCCACCAATTATAGGAAAATAGCAGTCAATTAAAAGAAGACAACTGTCTTACAAAATATATGGAAAAAGAGTAATGTTATTCGTAGTCGCTCACTGCGGTAGTCGCCCTACGTGGCATACACATGACAAGTGATTATTTGATACATTAATATGGTAATTTTTTTATTTATTAATGCATCAAATAATTATCAATTATGTGTATGTCACGTAGGGCGACTGTTCATGTTTAATAAAACAATCACTGCCATCCAAGAGATTCCTTTAGAGTCAATCGATCATTTTGAAATGTCTGCATAGTTTGACTTCCCATTATACATATATTATAGTATATTCGGTCACAAGAATTGGCTTCTCCTTCTCCATTGTTAAACTGTATAAACAGTTGGCAGAGAGAAATTGTAGCAAATATCCATGGCTTCTTCTCTCACAAACTGCCCACCATTCGAATTCTCAGCAAAATATTATGAAGCATCTGCAGGTGGAAGCAGTTGTGTGAGGCGAAGCAGTTTCTTTGGAGGGCAACCAGTGCTCAATCAAGGTGTTGGATATTCTGTGATTCTTGGATTTGGAGCATTCTTTGCCGTTTTTACCTCATTCCTGGTATTTTTACCCTATCCCATATCTAAATTGAAGTTTTAAAATTTGGGGTCTTGTTAAATTAACTTTATTGTACGACTGAACTTATTAATCATAGAGTTTCAAATGTAATATTTTATTAGTATTTGATGATTTCCTGACGAACTTGAGTTTACTATTCAATTTTACCTATTTAATTTTAAGAAGATACTCAGGGGAAGTGAAATCCCTTGTGTATTGAGTAAAATTAAAAAAATGATTTTTCCGCTTTCTAACAATTTAACTTTTAGATGGAGTGGTTGAACAATACGAGCCTATTTATAAAATTGGGATGAAACAGAGGACTTGCTCATAAAGGGATGTGTTAAAGACAAATTTGATCCTCTGACAGTTTAAGCTTTTATTATTGGGGTTCATTGAATGGAGTCGAGTATTCCTCAGCAAAATGTCTTTCCCCATTCTCCCACACTATTTTTGAGAACTTGGACTAGATTTTGAACCTGTTCTACTTGGCATGGGACTAACCTCTAGAGCCTGAACTCCTAAATTTTACCATTTATTGCTGATGGAATCTCCAAGGATTTATAGTTTGTGCTTTAAACATGTCTAGGTATGGCTGGAAAAACGATACGTTGGTTCCCGCCACACTTCAGAATGGTTTAATACAGCAGGCAGAAATGTTAAAACAGGACTCATTGCAAGTGTGATTGTGTCTCAGGTACCATGTTCATATTTCTTTCAACCTAGAATTGAAAATGTTTTGTACATTTAAGTTTACTGACAGTTTCAATCATTTGAGTTTTGCAGTGGACCTGGGCTGCCACAATTTTACAAAGTTCAAATGTTGCCTGGGAATATGGAATCAGTGGTCCTTTCTGGTATGCAAGTGGAGCTACAATCCAGGCATGTCGAAGATCAGTTTTCCCCACTAAATTTGCCCTTCCAATCTTAAATTATAGTGATTAGTTTTACAAAATTCTGATGACCAGGTACTCTTGTTTGGTGTAATGGCGATCGAGATCAAAAGAAAGGCTCCTCATGCTCATACTGTTTGTGAAATTGTGAAAGCAAGGTTGGTTAGAATCTAACGAAAATTCAGTTGTTCTTGTATTTCCTCTTAAATTAAAATTTATAGCATCTCTTTTTCATCAGATGGGGAACTGCAGCTCATATCGTTTTTCTTACTTTCTGCTTCCTGACAAATATTATTGTAACTGCTATGCTTCTTCTTGGTGGATCTGCTGTGGTGAATGCACTCACTGGAGTGAATATTTATGCTGCAAGTTTCCTTATACCTTTAGGTGTAATTGTCTACACGCTAGCAGGAGGGCTAAAAGCCACCTTCTTAGCAAGTTACATACATTCTGTAATAGGTGCATAAGATTTACCCTCCTTTTGTTCGTAATCTCATGAAAATCTTCTTATTTTGATTATCCCTCTAAACCTTTTAATTGTGTTTCTTTTTTCAAAATTACAGTGCACGTGGTTTTAGTCATCTTCGTGTACCTAGTTTATGTTGCAAGCAGTGAGCTTGGCAGCCCGAGCATTGTATATAGACATTTGCTTGAGGTCTCAAGCAAGTCTCGCAGTTGTATAGAGCCAATTTCTCATGTTGGGCAATCCTGTGGTCCGGTTAGTGGAAACTACAAAGGATCATATATAACAATGCTGAGTTCAGGAGGTCTGATCTTCGGGATTATCAATATTATTGGCAATTTCGGTACAGTTTTCGTCGATAATGTATGTTTATGTCGGTTTTGTTAAAATTTCAGTTTATCATTACAATTATGAAACGTTATTTTGACCATGGATTGATTGGAACTACAGGGATATTGGGTAAGCGCTATTGCTGCAAGACCGTCTTCAACGCATAAGGGTTATCTATTGGGTGGATTGGTATGGTTTGCAGTGCCATTTTCTTTAGCAACATCACTTGGTCTCGGAGCACTGGCCCTTGATCTACCAATAACTGCTAGTGAAGCGAGCCACGGACTTGTTCCTCCTGCCACAGCTATCGCTTTGATGGGAAAAGGAGGATCCGTTCTTCTCCTCACTATGCTTTTTATGTAAGCTAAATTCGATATTCCTAAAATTTCTACACATTCTCTTCACCCGGGTTTCTAAAATGATTTATATATGATTAGGGCTGTAACATCTGCGGGTTCGTCTGAGCTGATTGCTGTTTCTTCACTATGTACCTATGACATATACCGTACATATATAAATCCAGTAGCAAGTGGAAAACAAATCCTGAAAGTGTCGAGGTGTGTTGTATTGGCTTTTGGATGCTTCATGGGAATTTTAGCTGTGATCTTGAACAAGGCCGGAGTTTCCCTTGGTTGGATGTATTTAGCTATGGGAGTTTTCATTGGGTCAGCAGTTCTTCCCATAGCCTTTATGCTTCTATGGAGAAAAGCAAATGCACTTGGTGCCATTCTTGGGACGATTATCGGTTGCTTTCTTGGAATCATTACATGGTTGACGGTTACTAAAGTTGAGTACGAGAGGGTAAATCTTGATACAACTGGGAGAAATGCACCAATGCTTGCTGGAAACCTAGTTTCTATACTCACCGGAGGAGCTGTTCATGCAGTATGCAGCTTTTTGTCGCCTCAAAATTACGACTGGGAAACAACTAAACAGATAACCGTTGTAGAGAAAGAGAAGACCGAATTACCAGTCGAAGAGTTCAAAGAAGAAAAGCTAATCAGAGCAAAGGCATGGATTGTCAAATGGGGTGTTGGTTTTACTATTATTATTGTTATATTATGGCCTCTTCTGACTCTTCCAGCAGGTAACTCTACATATGATATATCCCACAATCTGCATTCAAGTTTAATGAAGTTACGACTTTCATTATAGTTTTTGCTTCTAATATGCTTCTGTGATGACAATGCAGGACAATTTAATAAGGGATACTTCACATTCTGGGCAGTAATAGCAATTGCATGGGGCACAGTGGCTTCAGCAGTAATTATAGCTTTACCTCTAATGGAAAGTTGGGGTACAATCCAGAATATCCTCATTGGTATGTTTACAAATGACAGACTTATGGTAAAGATTGAAGAACTGAATTTCAAATTAGGGACTATTATGTCTGCAATTCCTGAAGCAGAGAGAATTTACTTACTTGAAATAGAGAAGGCCAAGAAGAAAGAAGCATCAGAAATTGAAGTTCAAGTTCTACCTGCATAAAATAACAGCATTGTTTGGATGACGTATGTAACAAATGCTTGAAAAAGTAAGTTTCAACCACAAAGAAACTTTGCCAATTGAAAAAAAATGTCCGCTTTGAGAGGCGGCTGTTATTATCGATTTAGACAGTCGATGTCGCTTCATCTGCAGTAATAAAGCAAGGAAAGAGGAGCATATTAGTTGGGCTGCTTAATTAATGTATATGACTAGTAGCCCGAAAATTGGTTCTTTGTTCCGGTATATAGCTGTGTGGCTAACTAGAAGATTGGAGAATTCATATTTCATTCAAAAATTCATGACTAGTGGTATAAAGATAATTGGGCTGACGCATGCATTTTTCAATATTTATTTACAAACAACTTGCCCTTTTGATGTAGGTTCGGTCTAATCTATTTTATACCTCTAGCGAGAGATATCGATTAGAGGTGCCAAAATTGGCGAACTAGTTCTCATGGATCGTTTGGTTATTGGTTTGGAAAATCAAGTCCAACACTGCCTCTTATTTTAATAGACCAACTCATGAATCGACCCAAATTGAGATGGACTGATTTTGATTCGATTTTTAATTCAATGGATTGTCACGAACTATGGCGACCCGCCCATTTTGAAACCACCATCACCGATGCTTTCATGAGTGCTGACGCATGCATTTTTCAATATTTATTTACAAACAACTTGCCCTTTTGATGTAGGTTCGGTCTAATCTATTTTATACCTCTAACGAGAGATATCGATTAGAGGTGCCAAAATTGGCGGACTAGTTCTCATAGATCGTTTGGTTATTGGTTTGGAAAATCAAGTCCAACACTGCCTCTTATTTTAATAGACCAACTCATGAAT